CTCGAACGCGGGCGCGAACGCAGCGAGCGGCCGTGCTCTTGCGATCAGGAAACTCTTCCTCGCGAACTGGGCACTGGACGGGTCTCTGAGATCTACCGTCTTGCTCTTCTTGCAGGGGGGGGGGCGGCGCGCCCCGAGGGGCGCCGGCGACGCGGGAGGGGGCCACTCCCGCAAGTTCGGTGGACCTCAGTTCGGCGACATCTATTTTGCAGAAGAGCTCGCGACCAGTGCCAAACAAATCAGGGCCTACATATTTCCAGGGATTGCTTCGAGCATCTCTGGGCCTAGCCCCTTGGGGCGCCTGGACAGTTTGCCGAAACTGTTTGAGCCGGGGATTGACCGTGGGAAGAACATGCCCCGGGGGCCGAGGTCGAGAGGTGCGTTTTCACAGCGAGCTCTACCTACTAACGCTGCAATCGCCTGCTCCTGTGCCCATTGGTGTCGCTGTCGCGCGATGTCCTGCGACCTCTTCGGCCGACGTATCCCCGACCCCGTGAAAGGGGCTCCTAGTCTCAGATGCCTTCGGGCTTCTTGATCAGTTTGGGCCCGGATTCTGCCATGCTGTCTCGTGGTGTACGTGCCTCTGAGCGCTACTCGAGCGTGCCCGTAGACTAGCTGATGCAGGGGCTCCAGGGGCCTCGCCGCGATCGGGCCCCGCGAGCTGAGGGCGGCTGCTTCCAAGCCCGAGAGCGCCGCGTTCAAGATGAGCCCCGAGAAAACGATGCCCTTGACCGCTGGGGAATCTGGGAGCGTTCCAGAACCTGCCCACCCTGTGCCGGGCCGTCTTGAGGGCCTGCGTCCGAAACCTCTCCGCCGAGAACTCATTGTTGCAGTGCAGACGGCCTCCAAGATACCTCGTCCCCGAAAGAACCTGCGCCTTCAGCATGTGGAACTTCCTATTCGAACCCCCTGACTGGCAGCCTGCCCCCTGGAGTGGATGTCTGTTTCCCTTGCGTTGGCCCCCTCCTATCTCGCGCAGAAATTCATCGGCCACTTGCTTTTCCGAGCGCGCAACATCGGAGAGGTGCTGGGGGTCAGCGCCCGCAACCGCGCGAGCTATGTTGCCCGAGAAGACCGACGCGCTCAGGTCCGTGATCGACGTGTCGCGCCCAGCACGAAATGGTTCAGGTAGTCGCATGTGTAGTGCTCGCTGCCATGGGTCTGTGTCGAGCGTGTCGATGAGCTGCTGAACTCCTGCTCCGTGCGCTCTCGCACGCATGTTGGCGGTTGCGTGCTCTCCTGGAAACGCCCCACTTTGGTTTGCCAAGTGCCCGTCGCGTACTCAATCGTCGATCGTGTGCCTGCCGTTCTGGGCCCGCTGATAGAACAAGTCCACTCTGTTTGGTCGTGCTAGATCGTCGGCCGCGCCCTCGGCGCGATCCTTGTGAATGCAATGGAAAGCGTTGCTGGCGTCATGAAATTGCGCGAGGTGGTGAAGTCCTACTCGGCATAGCCGAGCTGAGCCACACATTTGCACACGCATGGCGTCTTCCCTCCTCCGATGAGCGACGCCTCCGTGAGCCCTGTAAGGGAACTCAGCACCCTGCTTCATAACTGATCTGTAGTAGGAGCGCCCCATATCCACAAAAACCTGATAGGTCGCTCACCAGCCGTGTTCACTTTGTCGTCGTGTTTTGGTAGCCGGCACCACTGCGCTTGATGCTGCGCTGCTGGTGCTCGCCCAGCCTGTCGTGTCGTGCGGCGTGGGAGGTGCATGCATCTATCGAAGTTGGGCGCTTTGGATCATGTCTTCGCCGTGTTCTCGTCATCTGTCGCTCTCAGCCATCCCATTCTGTTCTCGATCCAAATGCTGCGTTGATCCATGCTCCTGCCGCTCGCTCCTTACAAATCTTAGAGATCGTCCTGCTTGTCCGATGGTTTCCTCTACATTCCGTAATCCCAATCCTTTTGGTCGTCTGTAGTACCAGTTGGATTCCATCCGTACTCGTATGAAAAATCCCTGCTGCACTCCACGATGGCGTGGCTCTCCAAGAAGGTAACTCTTTTTACCGCTGTCTTACGGCTCCCTATGCCATGTAATGCTTGTTGGTGTGCTGTCTGGTAGTCCGTAGCGTCGTCTGGCTCAGTAATCCATTACAAATGAGAAGAGAGATGCTGTTGACGCATGTTCTGGAGACCGTCATCGAAAGGATTTATCCAAAAACCCGTGGTCGTCATAGGCGCTGTTGTTATGTGTCGTACTCTCGCCGCCGCTCCTCCCTGGGGTCCTTCGTCATGGACATGGCTGATCCACTCAATGGCTGAATCTCTCGATGCGGGTACTCTACTGTGGTGCCTCCCCCTTGGTCCCTTGCATGTGCCCGCAAACAATCGAGCGATGCGGTGCGCGTCGTAGAAGTTACGCTCTCTCCAGGCCTCCCACAAGGCTTCAACTCGGTCCGGAAATCGTGCTTCCTGCATGTTTTGCTTCTTTTGTTTCAACTTCCGGCTGGGTCTCGATATCTCCAAGTTGAGGTCATCATCTCGCTGCTCTCTTTCTCTTGCCTGTCGCCGCTTCTCCAGTAATTCCGTGACCCGGCTGCTCATGTTGAGTGTGTCCTTCTTCTTTTCCGAATAACCCGGCGCCTGTGTGAGCATGTCCACTGCCACTGTGGAAATGGTCTGCGTGAGTCCCGCATTTGTCATGTCGTCGTTGCGATCCTATTCCCATCACTTAAATACATTCATGTGCGGTTCGAGTGCTGCCTCTACCCTCGTGATGGAGTTCTCCTTCTGGTTGCCGCGAAACAACATAGCATTGCAAGCCTCCCTGTTGGGTTCAAACCTCTGAAGTCGCATATGTATGTGCTCATATGAGTGCATGAAAGCCACCGTGAGCGGATAATGGTCCTTGGGCGCTACACAGTTGATGTATGTCAGCCGCTTCCGGCAAGATGCCATGCATGCCGTGATGTTGTCCAAAGACTGCAGCAGGAACAATGGCATAGTCTATTCTGCGTCCCACATTGTGGTCCGTACCATAATACGTCACTCCAGCCTCGGAACATATTTGCCAGGATGAACCCATGCGCCTTGAGGGCGGGTATGATGATGCCATAGTTGACGCCGTCCCTATCCGCCTCGATGCTCCCCAATGTCCGCGGTGTAGTGAGATCCTATCCGTGCGTGCTGTTCGGGTCGGTGCCTGTGATGGGGATGCATATGGACAGAAGTCTGTTACTGTGCTCGTTGAACCACTGTGTTAGCTCATTCGCCACAATTTTCTGGATTGAATCAGCCCCTCGTTCTTTGCCGCGCGCGGGATCATACAAAGGAAGAGCTGCAACACCGTGTCTGCCATGCCTGTATCTGACCGTCCTGCCTCGTCCTTGGAATCTCCTGGTTACTCGAATTATGGATTGTGGGTTCTATCTGCGCACGTTGAAGCTGATGGCTACACCACAGGCTGAATGCGTTCCTTTGCCATAACCTGCATGCAGCAAACATGTCGGCGAGGGAGTTCGGATCCTTTGGCATCCTCATGCCTGTTCCCTGCAGCATGATGAAGTCGTGGCGCTCGTACTCATGACCGATGTCCTGGAGTCTGCCTGGTGGGGCAGCGGTGAGCGGGTTGAATGATACCGCTCTTGCAGGTCTCCAACCGCCGCCGCTCCCACTCCAAATGCCTGCTTCCATCGCTGCACATGCGGAGAGAAGGACGAGCAGGGGGGAGATGTGTGGGGGGCGCTTCAGTCGCAGGTACACGCCTTGTGCCATCGTGCGACTAGGAGGAGGAGGAGAAGGAGGAGGAGGAGAAGAAGGACAAGGAGGAGACGAGCGTACCAAAAGAAGGACAAGGAGGAGGAGGAGGAGGAAGACGAGGAGGAAAAGGACGAGGAGAGGAGGAGGCGGAGGAGGAGGACGAGGAGAGGAGGAGGAGGAGGAGGAGGAGGAGGAGGAGGAGGAGGAGGAGGAGAAGAAGACATGGGGAGGGGGAGGGCGGAGATGGACGAGGGAGGAGGATAACGGATGCTTGGGGGGTGGGGGTGGAATGAGAAGAGGAGAACGAGGAGGAGGAGGAGGAGGAGGAGGAGGAGAAGCAGGAGGAGCAGGAGGAGGAGACGGAGGAAGAGGAGGAGGAGGAGGAAAATGATGAGGAGAGGGGAGGAGGAGGGGAAGGAGGAGGAGGAGAAGGACGAGGAGAGGAGGAGGAGGAGGAGGAGGACGAGAAGAGGAGGAGGAGGAGGAGGAGGAGGAGGAGGAGGAGGAGGAGGAGGAAGAAGACATGGGGAGGGGGAGGGCGGAGATGGAAGAGGGAGGAGGATAACGGATGCTTGGGGGGTGGGGGTGGAATGAGAGGAGGAGGAGGAGGAGGAGCAGGAGCAGGAGGAAGGAGGAGCAGGAGGAGGAGGAGGAGGAAGAGGAGGAGGAAGAAAAGGAGGAGGAGGGGGAGGAGGAGGGGAAGGAGGAGGAGGAGGAGGAGGAGGAAGAGGAGAGGAGAAGGAGGAGGAGGAGGAGGAGGAGGAGGAGGGAGGAGGAGGAGGGGAGAGAAGGAGAAGGAGGAGGAGCAGGAGGAGGAGGAGGAGGAGAAGGATAGGAGGAGGAAGATGAGGAGGAGGAGGAGGAGGAGGAGGAGGAGGAGGAGGCGGAGGAGGAGGAGGAGGAGGAGGAGGGAGGAGGAGGAGGAGGAGGAGGAGGAGGAGGAGGAGGAGGAGGAGGAGGAGGAGGAGGAGGAGGAGGAGGAGGAGGAGGGGGCGGAGGAGGAGAAGGCGGAGGAGGAAGAGGAGGAGGCGGAGGAGGAGGAGTGGAAAGAAACAGCCCTCTCTGCCGCTCTCTGCCGGGCAGCGAGGCCAGTTTCCTCCTCTCTGCCTGGCAGAGTCTGCCCTTTTCCTCCTCCTCGACCTTCTCATCCTCGTCCTCGTCCTCCTCTTCATTCCTCCCTCCTACTTCCTCGTCCTCTTCCTCGTCCTCCTCATCCCTTCTCCCTCCTGCCTCCGCCTCCTCCTCCTCCTCCTCCTCCTCTCCCCTCTCCTCCTCCTCGTCGTCCTCCTCCCCCCTGCCTCCGCGGGAACCTCCCTGCCGCTGGGGGACAGGCGCCCCCGGTCTCACGTCGGCTTGGACCTCTCGCGCGCCCGGACGCTGGGCGGACGCCGCCAGAGGCCGCCGCCGCCGACGACGACAGGTTCGAGGCTCGAGGTTTTCGGCCGAGCTCGTCGGTCCTCGACGGTTTCCCAGTCTCGGGACGCCTTCCAACGGCTGCGCCTCGCCGAGAGCCACCCGGGGCTTCCCGGATCGTCCCGAACGGCCGCCATAGAGCCGAGCCATGACTCGAAAACCAATGGGGGGGAATCTCACCTCCCCTCGCGGCGAGAACAGACATACGACGGGGGAGTTCTGGGCCGCCTGCGGCCCCGAAAGGGGCCGCTTAGGGGCCGCCTCGCGGGGCCCCCGGGGAGCCGTCAACAGCACGACCCAGGATGAGAGGCCACTCCTGGGGGAAGAGGTCCAGACAGCCAGGGGTCCACGTTGCGGCACGATCGCGCCGTCGGAGGCCTGGGGAGACCGAGGGGCCACCTAGCCTCACATGCAATTAACTTTATGTTCAACGTTGACTTACCATCTTAAGCAATTGCCGCACGGTGCCGGCACAATCAACCGACCCATACCATCTACCGTCTCAACTCGCCAGCCAAATCACCATCCTGCTCACTGCCGTGCCTTGCTTCTGACTGCCGATGCCCATCACTAGTGGAGGGATCGGCTCAGGGGGGCGGAGGAGTTGGAGGGGGTGAATCCCTTCAGGCCGGCAATTATACACAGCTTGGACTAGAACTTCTACGGCACCCTGTGCACGTTAGCCTTTACACGAATTATCATGGCACTACTTTGACAACAACGATGACAATCAGCAATACGGGTATGTGGCGAAAGCACGCTGGCCTGGTTTTCCTTTTTACTGAACAGCTTTCGCCACGTGCACTTCGCACTGCGTTTCCTCACACGCTCAGCCGCTCACTCGACGCACTACGGATACACCTTCGAGCGAATCGTGCGCGAGTGCCCTACGCGCCCAAGCACATACTGCTCATGCTGTCGTCTTCTCACTCACCATGCTGGGCCAGGACCGTTTGAGGGGCCTCTACTAGTATTCCGATTGGCCTTCGAGCGAGCCGTATCAGAGCGCTACCCTAGCCCAACCATTACTCGACATACGAGTTAATGCTTTGACTTTTCAAGCCGCGCACGCCGTCCAAGCCCAGCAGCAGCGGCATCCACACCTCAAGCGAATGCTTGATGCTTTACGGGATTGATGTTCAAGTTTTTGATGCCACTTACGATGCGTGAGGCGCTACCTGCACTCTCAATTGACCAGCGACCGCAGGTCCTTCGACAGGGACCTGCCGACAGCAAGTCAGCCCTACAATCAAACACACTCTTTAACCCTGCTGCCCGCTTGCCGCACAGTATTTCGATTGCATCACCCATGTCGGTTTCCTCCCGATGACTGTGACTATCGGTCAGTGAATGTTTGATCTCCACTTCCTCCTTCAACTCAAGCTGCCTGCATAACTGCCCTAACCCTGATGGGCTCACACTCATTTTTCACTTATCACTGCCGTTCCTTTTTTCCCGCACCTGCCGGCAACCGTACTGAGGCCACATCGCCTAAGTCTGTTGTCAGCCCTTTCGTGAGCCGTCTGGTTCCAAGGACTTGAAATCAACATAATGGTCTGGACTCGCGTGTGCCCCATAACTCACTGTTTACCACGGATGCCAACACAGAAGCCTGGCTGAATTGTTTGAACGAATGGCTTGCCAGACCCAGACTTCAACACGATGCTCCGACTTGTCCGCAGATTGGAACGCACGCGCACCAACAACTATCAACCAATGAGCTTCAGGTGCTGGTTCAATATTCATGGCATCTTTCGGCGACTTGGCACGGGTACGCTGATGCCGTCTTTACTTCACAAAGCAGTTTCGAGATGCGGGCGCAATCATGTACGTGTTGGGCATGCACGCGAGATCCCACTATACACAAGTAGGCTTCCCGAGAGTCTGGCGCACTATGTATACCTCCTTTGGTCACCACATCCTCCTGCGCAAAGCAATGCTCATTTAACGCGCACGCTTTACTCCCTTGCAACTCGTGGCAGTACAACTGAGTCATGTTCAGCGGGAATCGATACGCTCAGCCGTATTCTGGTTCACCGATCACCATGCCTCCAGTGTTAAGTGGAAGAAAAAACGCCACAAACATAAACTTTTGGCGCTCCGCGCGGATTTCTTGAATCTGCGCTGGACCCCCCTCCCTGGCGCGCGGGGCGCGCCAGAGGGCGGCGCCAGAGGCGCCGCTGGGGGGGTCCAGCGCGCATCCAAAAGATCCGCGCGGAGCGCTACAAGTTTATGTTTATGGCGTTTCTTGGGATTTCTTTGTTGTTGCTTCTTCTTCGAATGTTGGCACGTGCCCTCCACCGACGCCCCCCTGTGGTCTTGTGCCGGGAAGGGGATGACCAATGTGACCACATCGCTCGACCCTCCGTGGTGGCGCTGCTCTCGTGCACATCTGTCTCCTCCTCCTCCTCCTCCTCCTCCTCCTCCTCCTCCTCCTCCTCCTCCTCCGCCACGCGCGCATCCGCCACGCGCGCATCCAACATGCCGAACGAACATCGTGGTCGCTTGAGCACGGCAGCCAACGCAGCCGGGCAACAACGTGCAGGGCATGCGCCGTGCGCGCATGCCGAGGCCGCGCGCCGGGGGCCAGAGCGCGTGAGCTCGGGTGCGGGGGCAGAGGCGCAGCAGGCCTCGAGACGGGAGGGCCCAGCTGCCGTGGCCTCGGGAGGGCGGAGCGCCGGGTCAACTCGGGGGCAAGCCGCACGGCTTGCGCTGGGCTCGCACCGTGTGGCGCCAGAGCCGTGTGGCAGCTGCGCGTGGGGTCAGTGGTGCAGAGACTTCGCCGTGCCAGCGGGCCGAGCCCAGCGCCCTGCCCCCAGACTGCAAGAGAACGGCGGGCGGGCAGGCCGCGCCAGATCCGGAGCTGGCCGGGGGCAAACTGCGGCCCGCCCAGGGGCTGGCTGTCGTCACCAGAAGCAGGCGCGGAAGCGTACCCTGGGCACTGGGACGGTGGCCTGGAGGCCGTGGAGACTCCGAAATCAGCATCCTCTTTCTCCCTCCTCCTCCTCCTCCTCCTCCTCCTCCTCCTCCTCCTCCTCTCCGGCGGCTCGGCTCCAGGCTGTGAGCCGGACGCTGCGGGGCCACCGCGCACGGCGCCGAGCCGCGGCTCCACCGTGGGGCGGCGGTTCCCCCTGGCGCCTGGGCGAGACCGCGCTCTCTGCGCAGACAGCGCTGCCAGGTCGGGCTCCCGAGCCTTGGGCCAGCCGGCCCCAGGGAGAGCCCGTGCCCGGGACCGCCACGGCTGCGAGAGAGAGGGAGAGGGAGAGAGAGCAGCGTTCCGCGCGGCGCGGCCCCGCATTGGCGGTGGACCCTCTTATGGCCGCACTCATGGCACTCATGAGTCTGGGCCACGTGACGTGTTCTGGAAATTGTGTACTTAAAATGGTGTTTCTCAAGCTTTGCTGTACTTCAGCAACCCTCCGCCTACCTTCCGCGGAAGGCATCCGCACTGCTCTCCGCGCTTCCGCCAGCCTTCCGCCCCTTCCGCCGGAAGAAGAGGCGCCAACATCGACGACTTTGGAAGACAAGGGGGTGTCCGGAGCCCCTCATGTGGGCGCATAAACCTTGTGGGCAGAAGAAACGCTTTGGGACAAGACCACCCATGGTCGGACCTGCACCGTGCCATCGGGCCAGGGCCAGCGTCAAGCATGAGAGGCAAGCGCAGAAAGGCCGACTGGCATACCCGCCGGTACGCTCACGTCGGTTGGGACGCAGGCTGCTGCAATACAATCCACTCGGCCACCATCTGGCAGTCGCGGCGGCAGGAGAGACTCCCAGACATGCATGCACATGCACACTGCTGAGATCGCGGCCCCCTCCCCTCCTGCGTAGTACTCCCTTGAGGGTCCTCCCAGTGACGCCAGCCCAGCACACACGTCGTGCTGCAAGCAGGCCGCTGAGCACGTGAATCTGGACGCTTCGGCGAGATACAGCGGCCCGCCCAATAATAGCCATGGCGAGGACTGACCCATTGATTCTCGAAGTCAGCCTCCAGCGCCCGCAAGGAGGGCGCCCCCGAAGTGTTCACGGGAGCTGCCGTCGTTGGCCGAGCCGTCGGCGAGCGTGGGCGCGACGCTGCAGGCTGGCATGGGGAGGGGCCAATGGAACTGTCGGGCCCTGCCGCATGCTGTGGGTGTGGATGGCGGACGCGAGCTACCGCGTGTTCTCGGCCGCTGCTGCAAGGCCCATGGCCCGCAGGACTTCGACCGGACCGTCGAGAGCTCGCTGTAGGCAAACAGGAATTCTGGCCAGGAGCCCGTGGTGGGAAGGGTCAGGCCGGAAGTCATGGGTTAGTAAGACGCCCTTCTAGAACCCCTCCGCCGCGTCCTCAGAGCACGCCAAGACGACGTCCGTGCTGTTAACGCCTTCGCGCTGCAGGAACTCTTCGAACGGCTGGCCGCCGCGGGTGCACCGCAGGACGCGACACCACGAAGCCTCCATCATGGTCGCGGCACAGGGAGCGACGAAATGCTACGTTCTGCGATTCTCTGGACGGGCCAACACGACGCGGCGCTTGAGCCATAACTGGCAACGGGCGAGCGCTATGGGATGATTGGCCGCATCGTCTCAGGCCCACCTGCCCGATGAAGATGGTCCCTTCTTGATGCGCGTCCTCACTGTATTGCCGCGCGCGGGCAGCACGGCATGCGAGCAGGACAGCCCTGGGCTGGCGAGGGGGAAAAAGCGCGGCCAGGACCTCGAGCCGAACCTTGTGAGGTCTCTCCCGAACAGCAGGGTCCGTGCCCAGTCCGTGGCCAGCATGAAGCGGTTCCGCACCTGGCCCGCGGGCAGGAAAACCCAGAATCGAATCGATAAATCGGATCGGTGATCGGCATGAATCGGGTCAGCGGAAATCGGCAGCCGAGTCGGAAAAAGTCGAATCGGCGAACGTCGGCGGGCTAGTAGGCCTCCAGAGAGAAATCGTAGCCCAAATCGGAATCCCAAATCGAAACGAATCGACGTCGAAGGAATCGAAACGAGCCCTGCGCGGGCCAGCGGGGGCTCTCGAGAGGGGGAAGGTTGGAAAGGCTTCGGGTTGCGCACGGATCGGCCGCCCGAGGTGATCCCAGCTGACCTCAACGGGACCCCCGAGCAATCCGGGGCGGCCTCACCCTGGCGCCGCGTCCAGCGGCGCTCCTGGGGCGCTCCGCGCCCCAGGGCTGGGGCGTTGAGATCGCCCCGGACTACTCGGAGGGTCTGTGGTGGCCAGTCGGGACTACCTTGGGCAGCCCAACGCCAATTGTCGGGTCTGGGTGGTGCTTCCTCCCTTGAGCCCATGAGCAAGGGCAAGCACTGGCGGCGCGCGGGACAAGGGCCGGGCGAGAGGGCGGTGCTCCAAGACGGCAGATGGGGCCTCTTGCAATGGGCGTGAATTGTGTTTGTCGTTTGGGGCCGAAGACCCCAGCGGCAGGGTATCGCATGCGGTCCCCCGCTGATTTCGGCACACCCCTCAGACGTTTCGTGACGAACCAACAACACACACCCATACCCATAGGGGGATCGGAGAAGGCTATGGGTGCGTGTTGTCGGATGGGGGTCCCCGCTCGAACTGGAGCGTTCCCCAACGTCCGACAACCCGCACCCATATCCATAGCCAGTCCTCCTCCCAACGACCCACCTATGGGTATGGGTGCGTGTTGTCCGTTCGTCATTTCGTGGCCCCAACAGGGAGCTCCACCGAAGGCTTCAGCGACAAAGTACTCCACGCGCATCCCCGCCGATTTCGGCACACCCCTCAGGATGAGGAGGACGATCATGATGAGGATGGGGACGGTGGCGGATTGAGGAAGAAACGACGCCTCACGATCCTTGACCTGCTAGCGTACCTGCTTTGAGGAGTGTCGGAAACATGGAATTCTAAGGCGAAATCAACCCTCGCGTGCCGTCGGGCGTCCCTCGGGATGACTGGCGCTACTGTGGCCCGCGATCGCAACGAGCTCAGATCGACTCTGCGCGCCTGGTGCTCCGTTTCCCATCCGTACTTCCCAGGGCTACACCCCTTTGGCCGCGCGCTGCCTGTGATGAGAGGGCCGCGGCTCGCACTGCTGCACATGGTTGGGTCCGTCGGCAAGCTCATTCCTAACCATCCTGTCGTGTGTTGGCCATCGTGTTGAACCAGCAGCGTCCAGCGTCCCGACCCCTCTTTCTCTTTCTCATTATTTCCTCTGCCTTCTGCAAGTGGTCATCACCATCTCCCTCGTCATCCCCACCACCACCATCACCACCACCGTCATCATTGTCATCATCACCATCACCATCACCATCACCACCACCATCACCATCACCATCACCATCACCATCATCACCACCATCATCACCATCATCACCGTCGTCACCGTCATCACCATCATCACCATCATCACCATCATCACCATTACCATCATCATCGCCACCATTACCATCACAGTCACCAGTATCGTCATACTCGTCATTATTCTCCTCCTGCGTATCATTACACTTGTCATCATCATCAGCATCATCAGCACCACCATCACACTCAGAATCGTCATCATCATCACCATGACCACCATCATCATCATCATCACCATCATCATCATGATCATGATCAGCATCAGCACCACCATCAGCATCAACACAATCATCACCATCATCAGCAGCACCACCATCATCATCAGCATCACCATCAACATCATCGTCATCATCATCATCATCATCATCAGCATCAGCATCAGCATCAGCATCATCATCATCATCATCATCATCATCATCATCATCATCATCATCATCATCATCATCATCATCATCATCATCATCATCATCATCATCATCATCATCATCATCATCATCATCATCATCATCATCATCATCATCATCATCATCCGGAAATCATGTCGGCAAACCGAAAGTCATGTCGGCAAACCAGTCACACGTTTCGTGGCCCCACAGGGAGCTCCACCGAAAGCCCAGTAGGCATGTTTGCATGCTTCCCCGTCGATGATGTGCACCCTTACACGTCTCGTGGCCCTAAAGGGAGCTTCACCAGTGGCCCCAGTGGGCATGTTCGCATGCGTTCCAGTCGTCCATTTCGGCACACCCCTAACACGTTTTGTGGCCTCGCAGGGAGCTCCACCGAAGGCCCCAGTGGCAAAGCTCTGAAAAAGGACAGAGGCAAGTTGGGGAGACGTAGAGTTGGGGTAGGGGCAGAGGTGGGGTTGGGAGGAAGCTCGCTCTGAACGGCTTTTGGAAGAAGGAGATGTGAGCATCCAACTGGTATCGTACCCTAACCCCACCTTGGGATACCCCCCTCCCGACGTCATGATCATGTCATGACGTCGATCCCTAGAAATCTCGACCCATTCCCCTGGACCGTTTTTTATCCTGAATTGTGTGTTGACGGTCCCGAGGCCCGGTAAAGGCCCCCAGAACTGAAACTCGAAAAAGCCCGCCCGTCGTGACTTTTGTCATGACTCGAGCCTCGACGAACCACCGACAGCTGCACGACAGTGGATCCACCCTCGCTCGGAGAGGAGGAGGAGAAGGAGGAGAAGGAGGAGGAGGAGCAGGGGAGCCGAACGCGGATCCTCCTCCTCGTCGTCCTGCGCCTCTGTCGGGGGTTGCCAAAGGTGCCCGTGGTCCAGGGTGCCCCCAGCTCTTCCCTCGATTTTGGAGCCCCTGGGGTCCTCTGGGCCTCGACAGGGGAGCTCTGGAGGCCGTGAGGATCTCCTCAGAAATCCTGCACCTTGGGCCACGGGGTGCTTCCAGCAACGCCCGACTCTAAGTATCGTTTCGCCGATCCCTCCCTATCCCCACGGGCGTGGCCTGGGCCCCGCTGGCAGATTTACCCCTCTCGATGGGAATACAGGCTGTTCCCTTCGGGTTTCGAAGGGTATATCCCCAACTGGGGTGGTGGGATGGTGGAGATCGGGATGGGGATGGGATAGGGGTTGGTTAAACAATACTGAGCTTCCTCGTCCTCCTGCCTTCTCCCCCCCGTGGCCCGCGGCCGCAGAAGGGTCCCGTGCACTTCTGAGCGGTGCAGCGGAAAGGGGCATACTTTGTCGATTCCGGAAACTCTGAATCCCAAACAATTGGTATCTCTTGGGGCCGCATCTTTCTACTTCCGCCGCCATCCGCCGGCTTCCGCTGGCGGAGCCGCCCTAGTTTTCCTTCCTCCGCCTTGAGCAAGAGATGCGAACTCCTTCGGTCATCGAAGGCGAGGCCCTTTCTGGAACGCCTCACGTATCCCGCTGCAGTGGCTGTGTCTCCGTCGGGTATCGCCTCGGACTCTTGTGGGGGGGTGGATGCGGCTGTTTGCGATGCATGCGCCGTCTATCTGAATCGGATATGGTGCCTGGTGTTCTTGATCACGCCAGTCTCCTTGAGAGCGCCTTTCTGGTCGAGAACGGATTGTTTCAAGCAGTAACCAACCATCAACACTGCCCCGCAGTCAATCGTGCTCCGAATAACGCCCAAGCCAGTCCGTCAAATGCGAATCACTGTGTTGAAGCGCTTCGTGGGAGAGCGGATGATGACCCTGTTTGGCATCCCCTTTGGCCCAATCAGCCAGAGTCGCAGATCACACGCTGCGGCAGCAAGGAGGGGGGAAGAGAGCGAGAGAAACGAGAGAGAGAGAGAGAGAGAGAGAGAACGAGAGAACATGTCAGTCAGAGAGATAGGGAGAGAGAGAGAGAGAGCTACAAATAATAAAATAGAGAATGGAAACAACATTGCTTCTTGTCATTGGCCTCGTACATTCAGGTAGTCATTCGTGATGTGTGTGTGTGTGTGCGCCCGGTACCTTGGGGCACCCTTTCTGTGGACGCTGTGGTGGCGCTCCATCGGGCCGCCAAATCTGGCCGAGACCGTCGAAGTCGTTCTCCTCTCGCTCCTCCTGATCATTCTCCTCCTGCAGCTGCTAATGTCCCTCCTCTTCCTCCTCCGCCCCCCTCAACGGTCTCGAGAACAATATGCAAGGTATGAGAGAGACTGTGGACAAGCTGCGGCTGGTAGCACCGAAAGCTGCAGGAACCAGTAGGTGAACCGCCACCCCAAGAAGGCGACGAACCCTGTTAGCCTGACCCGAAATGCCGTTGCCGCTGCTGCTACTGACGCGCTCCCCGCTGCGTGGACAACATCCCGATCATAAACGTGACCTTTCCACGGTTCTCAAAACGACGTGACTCAAACATGTCTAGATGCTGTTTCTAAAACTGGGTGTGAGTCCTTCCGGATCCGGAATGGGTGGCCCGTGGTCGCACGTATGGTCTCCCGTATGTCTCCCATGGAAAAATTCCGTTTGTGGTATTCCGTGTTTTGTCTCTCATGTATGGTCTTCCGTGCACGGTCTCCCGTGAATGGTCTCCCGTGGATGGTCTTCCATGTATACTTTCCCGTGCATTCACCCGTGCATGGTCTTCCGTGTATGGTCTCCCGGGTATGGTCTCCCATGTACGGTCTCCTGGGTATGGTCCCCCGTGACTAACCTCCCGTGTATGGTCACTCGTGCATGGCCCCCCGTGAGTGGTCCCCGTGTATGGTCTCTGGTGTATGTCGCCCGAGTATGGTCTCCCGTGTATGGCCCCCTGTATGGTCTCCGACATTTTCTCCCGTGTGCTCTCTCCCGTATGTGCAGTGCAGTATCATGCTGCCGCCGCTGCTTAGGTATGCTGCTTAGGGCCTGCTGCCGCCAGGGCCTCTTTTTTGTAGAGCTCGGTCGCTGCAGAGTCGCTCCGCTTCGAAAACCAAAGAGTCTGGCGAACCTCTGGCAAACCTGCGCCCTCCCAACTCACGCCCCGGGCGCTGTTCCAAGGAGCGCTGCCGACACGCCGTGCCCTCTGGCAGAAGGGGGGCCCGCTACAGCCAACCATCGCAGAGGGCTTCGCTCTGGACTTCACCCCCGCCCGCGCGCAGCGGTCCATCGCTTGCGCCACCACACCTTGAGCAGCATCGGCCTGGGGCGGAAATCGGGCGCACGCGAACATGGACTTGGGATACGTGGATCTGGTGTGCGGTCGCCAGATCCATGGATCGGGGAAAGTACCTCCGAGACGTGGCGCCAATGCCGCCCGATTTGATGGCGGAGCGCGCCGACTTTGCACGGAAACGGGACCCGTCGCTAATCCACTCGCCTTGATCCATGTTTCTGTTTCCTAAAGGAAAGGGCGCCGAAAGAGTATGGCGCCAGTGCCGCCCCTCTTGTTGGACACCGCACCGCACCGCACCGCGCGCCGATGAACTCGCGGGGGGATGGGCCGAAGCTTCTGGGATCGCCCGCGCGAGCCTGTCTCCGGCATTCATCCCCTCTCTCCGCCGGCTTTCCCACCGGCGACCTCTCGCACCCGCTTCGCGTCCGCCAACTTCCGCGCACCTCCCGCCAACTCCCGCTGGTGATGGGCCGATTCTCCACCACCACTACCGTGGGTAGGCGAGGGAGGGGGAGGAGGAGGAGGAGGAGGAGGAGGAGGAGGAGGAGCTCCCCATCCTCTCTTCTCCCCCGTCCCACCTATGGTAGCGGTGGCGGACAATTGGCCCCTCAGCTGGAGCAAGGAACCACGTCGCCCGCCACTCCCCCCCGCAGGGAGGGCCCCGCGGCGCGCACCATGGGATGGCACGAGGGGGGCGAGGGCCTGCCCAGGAGGCACGGGGGCTTCCTCCGAAGGCAGCGGCTTGCTCAGAGAGGCCCAGCGGCTTCTGAGACGCCGCCTTCAGAGGCCAGGACATCCCCCCCCATCCCCAAGATAACCACCCCGACACGCGAAATCGTGTAGTCAACGCGCCCAAAGAAGGAATCGAACAGGCCCCTAGAGGCCCCACGAGGCACCCAAGAGGCCCAGAAAGAGTCCCCAAGAGGCCCCCAAACGGCCCCCAAGAGGCTACATAACTGCCTCCGAGAGGCCCCCGAAAGGCCTCCCACGATGTCCAGACGAACATCCAAGAGGCCTCTAACCCGCAACCCGGGCACGGTGGCTGGATGGGCTGAAGGCCACTAGATTTCCAGACTCATTCTGCACGATCGCCCCTCCTAAATATCAACTCGTACCACCATCCAGACCTCGTGTCGACCCCCCCCACACTTTCCCTGTTCAATGAGTCCTGCAAGCGCTATCAACAACCATTGCTGTTGTGTGTGCACGCTCACTCGCTGAAACCAACAGGACATGGTATGTTTTGCCATTCGGTTGAAAGGCGACCATGCGGGCCTCGTGCGAACGCGTGTCGAAATCACTCAGCGATCACCGCGCGCCCGCCAACTCTGCCAAACAATACAATGCGGGCCACACGCGCGGGTCCCCGCGCGCGCATGTCGAAATCATTGCGCAACAAGGTGTGGTCCCAAGAATATATCAAAAGAACTGTGTTCAATCACGTGGCACGAACTGGCGATGTATACACATATGTCTAGATGTACATACATAAATGTATGACCAGATGTAGGTGTCCGTGTGACTGCGCTCTCGCAGCTCCTCACCGTCCTCACCAGTACCATCGCCAACATGAATTATTGCCGAAATCGTCATCACCACCATGACCTTCATCACCATCACCAACGCCGTCGTCACCATCCCCAACGACGCCATCATCGTCATCGTCGTTGTCGTCGCCATCGTCATGATCGCCGCCACCACTACCACCCTTACCGTTATCATCGTCGTCATCATCGTCGTCACAGGGAAGGGAACGATCTCCCTAATTTCGCTCCGTGCGCGCGTGCAGGTCGAATGCTGCAAGCAGGACCTGCCAAACTAAACATAATAATATTCGAGGAGGCGTAGAAACATGTCAGAGTACCGTGTTGTAATCGATCTCGCGAGACCGTTGTCGTAGTTCTCGCGCTTCTGCATTGCATCAGTCAGTGCTGCTTCCATTCGTCCCAACTGTGCTGGTGTGCGTGCTTGGCCCCAGACCTGGGACTCAAGTGTAAGCTCCATAGCACTGTCGAACGCCTCGAAGATGTTACGGTTCTGCGCGAGCCCCAGCCAAATAGCGCCGACGATTTCCCGGGAACATGGACTAGACTACGCAGGTTGCACCACAAAGACGGCGCCGCACAGGTTGCCCCATACAGACGGACCTGCGCAAATTCTGCACCACTACTCATGCACATCGAGAGTGCCAGAGCCTATCGTTTGGGGTCCGCGCTGGCAGACAGTGCCCCCTCATTCTGACTGGACAACTGACCACAAGACACCCATGTCCACCGTGCCCTGTCGGCGCAACCCTCCTGACCCCTCTGGGCCCGCGCGCCAGGCCCTGGCCCCGCCCCCCACTCTGGGATCCGACGTCGCGACCAAATTGCAACATCGTGAGAAGTCGCGAGCGGAGCCCCAGACTCCAACTTTCTTGTTCGAGCCGGGCCGATCCGTGCTGGTCCTAGGCCCGAAGCCGGGAGACACCGCGCGGCGTGAAAAAAATGGCAAGACGCCCGGCTCTCAGGCCCCCCCGTTGGGTGAAGCCTGCTCAGCCCAGGCAGCTTGGCCATGACGGCTGTGAAGCCGCCCAGGTACGCCATCATGCCCTTGTTGAAGAACACAAAAGGCTCCGCCGTGCCTGCGAGGAGGAGGAGGAGAAGAAGGAGAATGAGGAGGAGGAGGAGGAGGAGGAGGAGGAGGAGGAGGAGCGGCCAGTGGCCGCCGCTTAGGGCAGCGGGCGCTGGGCGGCGCGCGGCGGGCATCCCGCGGGGATCTCTCGAAGGGTGCGGGCCTGCGTGGCTCTTCGTGTCGCCGAGGCTTCGGTGCCGCAGCGGCGTCCCGTCAAAACTGGTCGCGTCATGCCCCGTTCGAGGCCACATCTGGCAAGATGGAGCCGCAGAAGGGACACGAAAGCAACTTGGGCAACTGGTAGTGGGAGAGATTCGTCCAGACCCTTCAGCCCAGACCTTGATCTGACCCAGGTCTCCTCCCTGAATCCTCTCACACTCCCTCCTTCCCTTGTGTCCATCTATCATGTATTTTTTGCAGAAGAGGGCGACAGCACGAGCAAGTGAACAAATCGACGAACAGGAGCAAGAGTATAATGAGGAACATGAGAAAATATGAGAAACAATGCGGAATCTGCCATTGTCGAACTTGCCGCTGTTCAGCTGCTTGGCCAAATATTGCGCCTCCTGGTTTGCCACCTCGGGTCATTTCCCGCCCCGCCGGCAATGCATATGTCGCCAACAGAACATCTCTCGTCCTGCCCCAACTGAATGTGGCTGCATCCGACGAACATCTTCGTATGATTAGATTTCGGAGACCCGACACGAAGGAGATACCACAGAACTTCCCCAATAAGTCTGTATAATAAGCGGGCCTCCCAAGGGGCCTGGAATCCCGCCGCCATTACACAGATCATGTGCGTTCGTTCCCGCTGTGTTTTCACAGCGCCGAGATCCATTGGATTGCCTCGGCCTTCTGCCTTATAAGGTGTTCCGTTTCGATGTAAGACATGGCTTCCTCGTGCACATCCAAATCGTAATCACACTTCGGCTGGTTTATCTTCACGTGAAATAGTTGTGGGACACCTGGTGAGTATCCGCCACCGTACCGTAGGCACTGAATGCAATGTCCTCAAGTCCCTGTAAGTCCACTACCGTACCGGGAGGCACTGAGTGAAATGTTCTCAAGCGCGTCCTGGTTCTCTATATACCCAATATGGTCAACATGCTTCAAGGAGGCTCTGGAAGCCGCCCGAAGGGGCCAACATCGCTGAACATCCTAAAACGTTTTCAATGATTTTAGCCTTCTCGCTGTTTCGGTCTTGTGAACACCGTGAAGACGCGGTAGCTCACATTGCTTTGCAAGGCGTTACCTAGGGTGCGGGATGGAACACCTCGGTTGCCAAACTTTGCCTTAAGGAGCTTTGTCACTTTCTCGCCGCTGCCGCGCTCTCCGATGTCTACTGTGCCTTTGTATCCGTGCACGGTCGATGAGATGTAGATGCTTCACAACGATGCTCGCCCTTTCTTCGTCGTCCCGCTTTACAATCCCCTCCCCCCTAACGTTGCGAATCCCTAACCTAACCTGACCGAGGCCCTTTCGACACTGCGCCAAAGCTGTCCTTACCTATTGAAGCTAACTTGATTCACGGTTCGGCGACACCAGCGTGTCACGCGCGCGCTGTAGACAATGATGCGCTATAGTGGGGCGTGGCAGCAACATGTAATGCAACAGTGCCAACCGTATCACTAATTTCTCTCCGTCTCCAATTCGTATTCATGTTTTTCTTCCGGCGCCAGGCGGCCGCAACATTCCGAATCGAGAGCACAACCCGTGCTGAGGCGAGAACAACAGTCGCAATGATGCGCGCGGCCAGCGCCTAGGACACAGGCGAAATCAACATTTCGAGTCGAGGGTGCGGCCCGCGTTGAGGCGAGAACAATTATCGAAATCATGCGTGCGGCCGGCGCCGAGGCAAAACAACATGTTCAATCAGATGTGGCTGGGGCCAATCGAGAACGACACGCTCAATGAAAGATGTGGCCGGCTCGTAGGCGTCAGGGACATTTTCCATCAGACATGTGACCAGCGCCAAGGCGCAAACGACACGCTCAGAATGTAGCCGACACCCAGGCGACAGCCACATTTTCAATCCGAGATCTGCAAGTGCCGAGGCGAGAACGACATGCTCAATGAAGGAAGTCGGAGGCGCCTAGGCGACAGCAGCATTTCCAATCAGAAAATTACACATTTGGCTGGCGCCGAGGCGAGAACGGCATTCTCAGTGAAGGACGTCGCCGACGCCCGAACGACTGCAGCATTGTCAATCAGAGATGCGACCCACGCACAAGCGAAAACAACATTTTCAATCAAAGATGTAGCCCACACACACGAGCTGGAGCATCATTCCGAGACGAGTGTGTCGCCAAAAACGCAGGTGTCACGCCCATTCCGCGCGGGCCGGGCTCGGTGTCACCGAGGTCTGGTTTACGTTCGGTGGGTAGTCCACGTTTGGAGGGGGGCTGCCTCCGCCCAGGTATCTAGGTCACGCTCCGCGGGGATGCCCGTACCTGCGCACGGATTTGACATCGTGGATGTAAACCTTGCTGTCGCGCAAGGTGCGGCCGGTCACTGGCGCTCCGCACTGCGAAGCGCCTCCGACGCTCTGCACAGCGCCGCTGTGGGTTTGCAAACTGCGGCCGCTCACTGGCGCTCCGCACTGTGAAGCGTCACCGACGTTCTGCACAGCACAGCTGTGGGTTTGCAAGGTGCGGCCGCTCAGTGGCGTTCGGTCCTGTGAAGCGTCCCCGACACTCTGCACAGCACCGCTGTGGGTTTGCTGCCCTCACTTCCAGGCGCAGCAGTCACCCGTGGATCGAAGCAGCGTCACTGAAGCTCCGCGACCAATGTTGAAATAGGAGAGAACGCGTTTCACGGGCGCTTGCCTTGGGAACATTCGGCGGCGCGTTTCAATCCAAGGGGTGCCCCCCCCCCCACACGGCGCCGTCGATCAAAACCAGAGGGGCTCACCTCCCCAACCCCCCCTTCCGAACCCCCCCCGTCTCCCAGGGGGCGGGGGGTGGGGGGGTTCACCCCCCCCCCTTCCCCCCCCTTTCGGCGCCGGCGCAGGCGGAGCGGCGCCCACAGCGTGGGCGCAGCGACGATGACCACAGGCAGCTCGGGAAGGGGGGGGGGTTCAAACCCCCCCCCCCCTCGCGCCGGCGCCGGCGCTGGCGGCGGCCAGCAGCGCCAGCGCTGGCGCCGGCGACGGCGGGGACGCAGCGACGATTACCACCACTACCACCACCACCACAACTACCACCACCACCACCGCCTCAACCCACCACCACAACCACCAACAGCACCACACCACCACCATAATCACCACCACCACAACCACCACCACCACCGCAACCACCACCACAACTCACCATCACCACCACCAACACCACAAAAACCCATCACCACCACCACCACAATCTACCACACCACCACCACCACCACCGCCACAACCACCACCGTTACCAGCAACACAACCCACCGCCACCACCACAAACCACCACACCACCACCACCGCCACCACCACCACCAGCACCACGTGCACAAACCACCGCCACCACGAACAACACCACACAACCACCACCGCAAACCACCACAGCACCACCATCATCATCACACCACCATAACCACCGCCACCACCACAACTCACCATCACCACCGCCACAGAACCCACCACCACTACCACCACCACCACCACCACAATCTACCATACCACCACTACCACCGCCACAACCACCACCACTACCAGCAGCACGACCCACCACAACCACCACAAAACCCGACACCGCCACCACCACCATCACCACCACCAGCACCACCTCCACAAACCACCGCCACAGCCACAACCCACCACCACCACCACAAACCACCACCACAACACCACCAAACCACCACCACCACAACCACAACCCACCACCACCACCACAAACCACCACCGCACCACCACCAAACCACCACCAACACCACCACCACCCACCGTCACAACCACCACCACCACCACGACAAACCACTACACCACCACCACCACAACCACCACCACCGCCACCACCACCACCACCACAACCCACCACCACCACCACCACCACCACCCCCGTCGTCCTCGTCGACGCTCCCCGCCACCGTCGCCCGCAGCCGCAGGCGCCAGCGCCGGCCCAGAAATGGAAATCGTCGTCCCCGCCGCCGTCGCCAGCCGCCGCCGACGCAAGCGCCGGCCCGAGGACAGGGGAAACAGGGGGGGAGGGGGGTGGGGGGTTGAGCGCTCCCCCCCTCCGTCACGGGAGGGGGGGGGTTTGAGCCCCCCTCCAAGCGACCACAGCATGCGTTCTTTCTAAAGTAGAGGTCCTTTTCCCTCGCAAGCGAGCGAAAGGCCAAACGGGCCCCCCCCCCGACGCGGTCAGAGGCCCCTGTAGAAGCCAAAACGGCGGCGGGGGAGAGGCAGGAGAGCACGCCAGTGCCTATCATCGAAAGATTGATTGATTGATTGATTCCCTGCCTAGGCTCTGCCTAGAAGGGTTCTTACCCTATGTGCTTAAAGGGCCCGGGCAGTGGGGCTCGCCCCGGGCGATTCCCCCGGCATCCGCCCCGCGGTTCCCCCAGTTACGTCTCCTTAGCTTAGCGTTGCATATCTCATCTTAGCTTAGCCTAGCTTTCCTTAGCTTACCCTAGCTTAGTTTAGCCTAGCTTAGCTTAGCCTAGCCTAGGTTAGTTTAGCTTAGCATAGCCTAGCTTAGCTTAACCTAGCCTAGCCTAGCTTAGCTTAGTTTAGTTTAGCTTAGCTTAGCGCAGCACTAGCATAGCATAGCATAGCATAGCATAACATAGCATAACATATCATAGCATTTCGCAGCATGCAATAGCGCAGCATAGCATAGCATATCATATCATAGCATAGCGCAGCATAGCATAGCATAGCATAGCATATCATAGTTTAGCTTATCACAACACAGCGTACAAAAGCATAGCATTGCATATCATAGCATAGCGCAGCATAGCATATCATAGCATGTCATAGCATAGCGCAGCATAACATAGCATAGCATAGCGCAGTATAGCGTAGCATAGCACAGCATAGCACATCATATCATAGCCTAGCATAGCATAGCATAGCGCAGCATAGCATAGCATCGCATAGCACAGCGCAGCATAGCATAGCATAGCATAGCATAGCATAGCATAGCATAGCATGTGTAGCTGTCGGTGTAGATGTAGATGTTGCTTTCCTAGATGCTCCAATTCCTGGGTAGGGTCGCACTGGGATAAATGATTGATTGATTGATTGAGTGAGTGATTGATTGATTGAGGAGGAGGAGGAGGAGCGGAGGAAATGAGGTAGATGACGAGGCTGAGCATGGCGAGTGAATGCGATGAAGAGGGGGCCAAGACTAGTTCTATGACCCTGGCTGTCCCCGGATCGTATCGGCAGAGGAGGATCGCTGGGGGAAAACCGCGGGCAGCAGCCAAGGGGGGGGGCGCCTGCGCTGTCTGTGGGAGCCAGTACTCCTCGATGGTGGAGCAGTCGCCAATCGCCCAAATGTTCTTGGGCAGTGAGGGTCATTTGAAGAGAAGCAACAGCAAACTATGGTCCTCTGCACCTTACGTTCTTTAGACGTCGCTGCCTCCACCGTCCTGTTGCAGTTGCTTCCATGTGTCTACCTTCTCGTTCCTCGCCCCCCCCCCCTCCGTCCCCCCTCACCTTCCTCCTGATCGCCGTCTTCGAACTCACCGCCACTTTTTTGTTATTCTCCCTCTCTCTCTCTCTCTCTTTCTCTCCCTCGCTCTGTCTGGCATTCTCAGCCTGATCGCCTTCCTCCGTGATTGCATATGTACTATTCTAAAGTTTCCCGCCCTTGCATCCTTCCTTTTTCAGCCATCCTCTTACCACTCAATCGCTTGGTCAGTCTTCAGACATGCGCTGGCGCGCGTCACCCGAACAAGACGAGCAACATCTCTCCAGAGGAGGTTCACAATGTCTCTGTCTGTTACTTCCGCAGAGAGCCTTGACCACTCGTATGCTCTCAACGCCCGCTGTGCCGCCCAGAAGATGATCGACTCCGCCTTCTCAACCAGATCCCCCACCTACTACCGTCGACCACTCACCTATCCTCTCCTCGTCCTGTCAATCATCAACCTTCAACTCCTCCTCCACCTTCTCTTTCTCCATCTGATGTCCTCCTCCTCCTCCTCCTCCGTCCTCATCCCTTCCTGTCGCTTACGTTTTACGGCTCCACCTCCGCCTAGGGCTCATCCTCCCTTCTGGTTGCCATTGCCTATTTTCGTATGTCTTGGTGCCCGCATCCGACTTCGTCTACCTGCCTCTCCCCTCTCTCTCTCTCTCTTTCTACTTCTTGTTCTCCGCCTCGTCCTTCTTCATCCTCCACCTCCTTCTGCTCACCTTACTTCACACTCAGCGGTATTATGCATCTCCTCTTCCCACTTGCTCTCCAACTCCGCTTCCTGCACTCCTTCTCCTTCTCCGCCTCCACCTACCTCAGCGTATGCCTCCACTACTTCTACTACTGGTCAAAGCGCCAACCGCCCTTTGCGAGGGGCCATCAGGCGGCGAATCTTCGATTTCAGCAAACGAAGAACCCTCACCCGTGCAATGAGGCAATTCGAACAGTTAGGATATCCGTATGAGCTGACCAGCTTAGGACGTATGATTTTCAAATCACCAACTCTCAGAGCACGGGGGACAATGGATCCGCGCTTCCGACGCCACGACTTTTCGCACACGGCGATGGACCCGCGCTCCCGCGGCCACGATCCCTTGCAGCAAATGATTGGTCCGCGCGCCCGAGGCCCTCCAGGCAAGAACGTATTGCTCCGCGCCACGGGAACCAAAGTCCAAACCGAACACCCATGGACCCGCGCCCCCGAGGCCACGGACGGATGTAACAGATTGTGCCGTGCTCCCGGAGCCACGACCCCCCGCGCTCCCGAGGTCACGACGCCTCGCAGGAAACGGTGGCTCTGCGCTCCCGAGGCCATGATCCCATGTATAAAGCAATGAATTCGCGCTCCCGGGGCCACGACCCCCTTGCACAACAAAATGACCCGTGCTTCCGAGGACGCCATCCCTTACAGCAGTCATGGCTCCGCGCTCCGACTCCTTGTGCATCAACAGTGGGTGCACTCTCCTAAGTCTCCAACGGCCCAGCCAACCACCAGCCAGCCAGCTCCTCCTCCATATTCTCCCCGCTGGTTCTCCCCGTCCTGCGCCTTTCCTGCTCCCTCTCTGCTCCTCCCCCTCCTCCTCCTCCTTCTCCTCCTCCTCCTCCACCTCGGTCCCCATCCTTCTCCCCCACTCCAACTCCTTCTCCCCCCTCCCTCCCTCCCCTCCTCCCTTCCTCCTCCTCCCTCCTCCTCCCTCCTCCCTCCTCTCTCGGCCCTCCCCTGCTCCCTCCTCCCTCCTCCCTGCTCCTCCCCCTCCCCCCCCCGAGCCGTCCTTGTGGCCCTTGCAGCGGAGGTGCCTCGGAGAGGCGCCGAGGGGCCCGGGGGAGCGGCGAGAGCCCCTCACCCTTCCCGTGGAGGGGCCTGTGCCGCGCCTGCCTCGAGATCACTCCGAACATCAAGCGGGAGGGAAAGACTGGGTGGTGGCAATTTAGGGAGCCCACAAAGGACGTACGCGCACAACTATGTACATGAATGCGGCCCCTCGATCCGCGAGACTGGCCGCGTGATACGAACATTCGGGCAATGCGTACTCTCGAAACCAGCGTGGATTCATGTACGTGTACGTCCTTCTTTCGCTCCTGAGCAATTGGCGGCTGTGCAGGCACTCAGGTCAGAGCGTCGGCACCCCTCCCTGCGGCCTTCGTTGGCCGAGGGGCCGTAGGGACGGCCTCGGCCCCCTCTGGTGCCCATCGGCGCGGGGAAAGACGGAGCACCGGGGGGAAAGACGGAAAGGGGGAGGGAGGGACGGGAGGACGGAATGGCGCGGGGGAAAAGTGCGGGCGGACGGAAGGATGGAAGGGCGCGGGAGGACGGACGCTCGGAGGGACGGAAGGGAGGGAGGGAAGCACGGAAGGGCGCGAGAGAAGGAATCATGTGTATAGTGTGTGTGTGTGTGTGTGAGACAGAGAGGGTGACATTGGAAACAAGCTCCGCCCTGTCAGCGCCTAGCAGTGTCTATCATTGTCCCTATTTGTGTCTACCAGCGCCTACGAACGACCATTCATAAACAATGCCATGCGCTAATCGCCGGGGAAGAGAACAACTCATGCCTTATCTTACTCGCATGCAAAACACACAGAAAGGGAGAAGGGGGGACGGAAGGGCAGACGGGGAAGATGATGGAACGCGGGGGAAAAAGGCCTGGCGCGTGGCAGCGGCTTCTCCCAGGGGGTCTGGTGCCGTGCACTGGGGGGTTTGCGATGGCACAGGCTCAAGGAGCGTTGGGGCCGCGTTCTTCCGAGGAAGGAAAGGAGGAGGAGGAGGGGGATGCTGGTGATTATTAGGATGGTGATGGTTATGGAGATGATGATGATGATGATGATGATGATGATGATGATGATGATGATGATGATGATGATGATGATGACGATGATGATGATGGTGATGATGATGACGAGGATGATGAGGAGGGGGTGGAGGAGGAGGAGGAGGAGGAGGAGGAGGAGGGCGGCGGCGGCGGAGGGTGGAGGAGGACGTGTGCGACGGGGAGGAAGTGGCAAACCGACCCTTATGAACTGGATAGAGACAACGCGTTCCCACTGCTTCAACACATACATAGGTAAGGCATCTCCTAAACCATCGCACCGCCCCCAACCTTCGAATCCCATCCGTGTCACTATTCACGACATCGCACATTGGTGCCGACATGAGGATGAGGCAGAGGAGGCAGAAGAGGAGTGGGACAAGGAGGAAGTGGAGGATAATGAGTCAGATGAGGAGGAGGCAGAAGAGGATGATGAGGAGGCCCAGGGAGGTGGGGGAGGAGGAACAGGAGGCGGAGGAGGAGCAGGGAGGCGAGAGGAGAACATAAAGTGAAAGGAGAAGGAGGAGGAGGATGGATGGATGGGACAGCACCAAAGGGCCCTAGATGTCCAGAGTTCGCGCCGCCCCGAGCACGTCGCGCGGGCGCCGTGGCGACGAGCTAAGGGCCCTGAAGCAATCCAGACAAGCATCCGTCCGACCCTGGCCTGTCCCACGGACAAGTGGCCCCCGCGGGGGACAAAGCGGGTAAACCCTGCGGGGACAAAGCGGGTAAACCCTGCGGCCACCAGCGGCCGCCCCAGCACCCCGAAAAGGGGGAACGGGAACGCGCGGGGCAAGCCCGGCCAGGGCGGCGGCCCCCCGAACCTACGCCGAGGGGCGACCCGCCCAGGTTTCGAGGCGGATCGAGCAGGACAGAGCGAGGGCCCGCCCCTACTCCGAAGGCCGCGCGGGCGTCCAGACGCCTTGACTGCGGCCATCGGCGTGTCCGCGATGCCGCCGAACTCGTCGGCGGAGCCACTCGCGACCACGCCGCCGTCCAGCACGGCAGCGGCATGCTCGTCCAGCTGCCGCAGCATGTCGCCAACCTCGCTCGCGCCCAGGGGCTCCGCGCCGCGCGCCGCCTCAGAGCCCCCAGGCCCGCGGGAGACCTCGCCGTCGACCCTTGCCGCAGACTGGGCCGAACTGTCCATCCCCGCGACAGCCTCGACCATGTCCGACTCCCCGCCCAAGAACGCGACGCACACTGTCGGCAGCTCGGGCGCCGCCGGAACGGTCACCTCCACACGGTCGCGTCGCACTCCGTCGGCGGCGCGGCCGCCACCGGAACGGACACCTCCCCGATCGCGTGGGAGAAAGCCTCGACGTCGAGACCCTCCACGAAGGTGGCCTCGGACGCCCCGCGCTCGTCGCCGACGAACTCGACTGCAGCTCCACGCCAAGCACCCCGAGCGGCAAGCCAGGCTGCTGCGGGTCCTGCCAGAGGCCTGGCGCCCACGCCACGCCCGCAGGCCCGCCCTGGCGCCCACGCCAGGCACCAGCCCGCAGCCCAGCCATGCCCGAAAGCCTGGGCCCTGCTCTCCGCGACGGGGCCGCACCCCTTCCGCGCCGGCGCGGGGGAGCCCGCCAGAGCGGCACCGAGGCGGGGCCCGCGCTGGGCCGCACGGAGCGCCTGCGCGTCGGCGCCCTCCTGCTGCGCCCGGGGGCGGCTGCATGGAGGGCGGCGTTGCGCCGCAGCCTCTGGAGCCACGTGGGCGCGCGTCCACCAGCGCGGCGAGGGCTAGACGAAGGCAGCGGACGCGGGCGGCCACCTCGCCATCGCCAACGATGACCAGGAGGGCCTCCTCCGCGTCCTTCCGCTGGCGTATGGCGGCCGCCAGCTGCGACTGCAGCCGCGCGACGAGGCGGTCCGCAGACGCACGGGCACCAGCAGCGCCGCGCAGCACCGCCGCCGAGCCCGATCCCGCAGCCATCACTCCGTGAGCCAAGAGCCCTGCCCCACCAAGAGCCCTGCCCCACCAAGGCCCTCACGCCCGCACGGGATTGGGGTACGCCGAAGGACAAGGTCCAGGAGCAGGGGGCCTACGGAATTGGCCTTGAGCCAAAATGGCTACGGACTGGAAAAGGAGGAGGAGGGAGAGGGGAAGTAGGCCCAGGAGGAGGAGGGCGGAGAAGCAGGAGGAGGAGGACGAAGTTTTCAGGGTCTGCAGGGCGGGTCTTGGAAGGCTCTGTTGTCCTAGGGAGCTCGAAGGGGAGGGGGGTAGCCACTGGATGATGATGAGAAAGAAAGTGGGGCGGCGGGGCAACGCCAAGGACGGACGTCGGAGGCCGAGAGGGGACGGGGAGGAGGAGTGGGAGGAGCGGGAGGAATAACGATACGAGCAGTATCAGTACGAATGACACCAACAGTTCTGTTCATATGACTACGAGAGGAAAAACGAATAGGAATCTCAATGGTAATTGCAAAGTCATGTTGAGTTGGGAGCTCGCCGCTCGACCGCCGATGCGGTGGGGGGCGGCCGGCGGGAGACCGCACTTCCCCGTGAGACGAAGACAAGTTGAGGAGGCACCCCCGTGCACGGACAATCTGCCGACCCCTTGTGGTTTCATCGGCGCGTGGAATAGTTGCCCCTCCCAACTCGGTCGGTTTAGATGGCGGGGGGGTTCCGGCTGGGTCCCCAAGATCCCCAGGATACCCTGAGGGCGTTATCCGCTTCAAGAATGAGCCACGGCGACCTCTGATGGCCTTGAAATTATTTCAGGAGGCGCCAAGACGGCCCAAGGTGGCCTCCACGCGGGCATAGATGGCTTCAAGACGTGCGAAGTTGGCTTCAATACAGCACCAGGAACATCCAAGAGCTCCCCAGATGGCTTCAAGACAATTCCCAAGAAAGTGCCAATAAAGAAACATCGTCCGAATCTCAGGGCAGCGTATCTTCCTGCAGATTCGCCGTTCTGGTCTTGGGAATTTCCGAGACGGCCCCAGAACCCCCCAATCCTTCCCCAAAACAATCCAAGAGGTCCCGAAAGGGAATCCCAAGACGGCCAACAAACAACCCGACGACGGTCCATGAGGTCTCCACAGGGGCCCAACAAGTTTCTCAGACAGTCCCAAAGACGCTCCCGAAATGGCCTCCGAAGGCGCCGGGCGGCCCAAGGGCGCCCGAGCACAGACCAAGACGCCCCCAAGAGGCCCCGAACACGCCCCCAGAGGCCCCCAAGAGGCCCCCCCAGAGGCTCCCACAAGGCCCCAACATGCCCCCTAGAAGCCCCAGAGAGGCCGCCAAAAAATGTGTCTACGATCGCCCAAATTGCTCATGCACCTGATTCCCCTGCAGTGACGAGGCGACGGTCGGATTCCCTGCAATTTCTGGCGATTGCCGCCGTTCGAGTAGCTGCCTGCCTCCAGGGGGCGCTTCGTCTGGTCTCTTCGAGGCATCCGTTCCGCCTTTTAGCACTTCGCTCAAACCACTTGGTTACCCTGCTTACAAGAAAAATGTCTCTGGTCTTTCGACGTATGCCGCCGCCCCGCAACGGTTCAAGGCGCCCCCCAACTGGCCCCGAGACGGCCCGATAAACCTCCAAGATATCCCCACTACGGCCCCACGGGGCCCCAAGACGGCCCAAAAGGGGCCTCAGGAGGTCCACGAAACCCTCGAGACATTGCGCGCATCGTGGCACCGGCGGTGTACGACAGAACGATGGGCGCGCTGGAGCGCACTTGAAAAGTCCGATTCTCCAGCGGAGAACCGGAGGACCCCAAGTGGTCGGCGGCGCGGCGCAGGCCTCAGAATAAGGTCTGACCCTGCGGCGCAGAATGCCCCCCAGACCCCCCAAATCAATATTGAGGGTGCGGGAATGAAGGAGGCGTGATCGACAACCGAAACAATCGCCCATGCTAAAATCAACGCTTCTTTCGGGGGCGAAAGCGTGATGACAATCCCCTTCAACGGTATAATGCTTCGGAACGGTTGTCCATGTGCTGCGCCACGCGACGCGAGCAAGCAGTTTCCAGATTTTTCCTCAAATTTCCCAT